ATAAAGCCGAACAATATGATAGTTGGGACATCTCTGGGGTTTCTCCTGGATCTGTGATGTCCCCTACTTTTCTTCCCTTTGGATTCCTTAAGTAATTGTTCCTATTTTGAGCCATTTCCATTTGATTTTCCCATGTCCAATCGTGAAAACCTAAACTTTGAAATCTTGAAAGCAAAACCACCTGATCTTAATCGAGAGTTTTCTTAAGTGATTTCTATCATTTAAGATGTAATTAACTATAGGGGCTTGCCTCTATAGGGAACCAGGAACCCAGATAAAATAAACCCTATCTAATTTTTATGTTAGATAGGGGAACTTGTTGGCCTTTTTATAAAAATATTTCGCAGACCAAACGGATGTCACAAATTGTTTAGTCTAGATGATTAAATCCCTATTACAAAGTAATATATTTATTCTTCGGGATAAGTGTATTGCTTGTAGTATTGTGTTAAATCATCTAAGCTATTTAAAATGTGAGACTCGTTTGGTCTCACTTATTTTAAAAATTAAAAACGTTACTTCTTTAAAAATGTTATATTTATATTTAAATTATTTTCAAAATCACAAAATCATCACCGTTTCCAAACTACGAAAGTGAAGGTTGGACAATAAAACGGCCGACATGATGACGATCACTTCTATTAAATATTTGTTGGAAGTAAACATCATCAAGAAGTTTGGTCCATTGAAAATTTATATTTTGATAAAAGGGCAACCATGACGTTCGTATCTACACTATTTATAATATTATATGATAATTGCACTCATAGTTGAGCAGTAAGATCGACAAACATTTGCTTAACCTGAATTTAAAAGAATGACCTTCTCATGATTAATGCTTTAATGGGAGCCCAAGGAGATGGAAGCGGTGACCCTTCTGATTATGATAGATCTTTGATTGTTCCCAAAATAAAAAAGAACTCTCCAAAATTTTCCTATTTTGTATTTAAAAGAAGGCCTACAGCATTGGGTGTGGTACCACCTCCAACTCAAATGTGTTGTGATTGGCCATAGGACCCTGGACTGTAATAATTCCGTAGATTTGGGTTAGGTGAGGGGAGACATCTGGAGGCCCATCGGGTTTAGTTGTTCAGTCGTTAGTTATTTCTTTACTCGTCATTTGTCATCAGACATAGGTCCCTGGACTATATTAATTATTTGAGCTTTACATAGAAATTTTTTATTTATGGAATGCTGATGTTTTCTGTTCCATTACCGCTGAATTAATTTCTATCACGTAAATAAAACCTTGCTTTGGCTGCATAGAAATTAGCCGCCCTATTAGAGTTGAGTGATTAGCTAACTAGTGATGGTAAAGCTTTCTACTTAGTAGGATTGTAAGCGACTCACCTAAGGGGATGAATGCTCCACTTCACCCCTGTTGCCAAAGCTAAAAGAAATTCAGTAAGTTGTCGAGTCAATTTAACCAATGAATGTTGCCAACTTCTATTGGCAAATTAGACACATTAATTGGTCAAGCTAAACTTTTCAGACAAATCTAAATGGGTTTGACCATTTTGTGGTGGTCAATTCTCACGTGAGACTATTGGTTGTGACATATATGGACATCAGAAAAGTCGAGGAGATGAAGTGCATATAGCATCGAAGCAATAAGAAACCAACCACTACGCCAAGAAAGACATGCAGCATTTCATGAGAGAATTCTTGCAAATGTAAGGCAAAATAAATATAAGGGAATTACTCCATCATGCCCAAAAAAGGGATGCATAGTTGGCAATATTATTCTAAATTTTAGAAGAGAGCAAAATGCATATACCCCAATGAGCCATCAACCAGCAACACTAAGGCAATGATGAGTAAAAATAAACTGCATAGCTACATTTAGGGAAAAATCTCGCCTGAAGGCACACACACATTTTTGACTTCATCTCTCATAAGATAGCATACTTGAAAAAAGCATCTTATTGATTTCACACCAATCCCATTTTGTACAGGACAGGAAATCGACTGTGGTTAATTAGTGCTGTAGAACTAAAATCCCAAACGACTAATTGCAACTTTCAATCATTCTTTGTTTTTTTTAAATCCAAAGTGCAGCGGGAAATAAGTGCACACTCATCCTGTTCTCTGTTGGATACCAACTCATGGGGATTTTAGATACTATTTTTTTGAGCTTTGGATGGCATCCAAAGTCTTTGTTATGCGTGATACTTTCACAACCCTCAACCAATATGCAATAAAGGTCTAGCATATGATTTCTTAAAGATCCAAGTTAGCTGTAGAGAATAAGTATAGCTATAGTGAATGAATATATCAAAAATATTTTGAAACATTTGTATGAAAATACACAAGAACATTATACATCTTGAATAACCACAAAGACTACCTGCTTAAGAATGGGAGTAGCACATTTTTCCCTCAAGCTTTGTGCATCAGAGTAGGTTATGCATGGCACTGGCTTCAACTCCGCATACTGCACAGACATGAAACTTAATTTTAGTATGAACAGTTTAAAACAATGAACCCTTTAAAACTATGAAAATTTTAAAAATAATTGTTAGAATAATAAAATAAGCACATTTAGTACTTTTTTCCTTAAAAAGGTAAAAATCACACAGTAAAACAATATATAAATAAAATAGAGGCAAAGGAATATCCAAAGTATCCCACGACATTAAGGCAATCAGTAAGTTAAGGATGTGATGCACAAAAAAGAACAAATAAGATCCACAAATACAGCAAAAATGTGTAGAGTTTAAATTCAAATATCAAGTTACAGCTCAACAAGAGCATGATTAATAAAAAAATAATAAAAAAAAACTATAGCCTTCCACTAGGAAGATTTAAATACAAAAAGCAAGGGCCTTAGGAAAGAGAAAAAAGTTAGCAAAAGAAGTATAAAAGCTCTTCAACTAGAAACATTGTCCTTCACGGAATCCACTCATATGACTGCTTCAGTGATTCAGGATACAATGGATCACCTTTCCTGCCAGACAAAAAGAAATCTCTACCATATGGAAAAGAACAATGCTTTATAAACAATCATAATTGGACCAAAGTTAACATTTCTTAAAATTACATCTTACAAGCACAGCATACAACACAAACTTCATAGTCCCAGTTTACTCTAATTCTAGCCAGAATGATATTCCATCTCCTAAAGTCCTCAACAATTTAACATATATAATAACTAGGTCAGATGTACGTGTTACTTGAAACTTGATAGGTGCAACAATATTTACTGTCGTGACCCGGCCCAGAGCTTGAAGTACCAAGGTGGGAAAGGGCAGAAACGGACGGTAGGACGCTAATAACATATCAATCTAACAATCATAATAGTCCACAATAACAACCATCAAGAAAAGAAAGAGCCACTAAACCTTAACAATATCCAAAGAGATCATCTATACTAACATAAAGACATTCAAACCACAATAGTACAGGAAAAGAAAACCAAACATAAACAAAGTTTAATACATATGCTCACTCGAACCTCTTTTTCTATAGACATACTCTCTCATATCAGTCATTATAATTTGATTGAGCTTTCCCTGAAAGAAATAGTTAAATAACACATTAAGTTTAAATCAATTTAGAGAAATAATTACAATTTTGATATACACTAAATCAATATGCAAAAACTTGCACATGAATGTTCAAAAAAAATGATGAAAATCAATAAAGTAAACCGTAAAATTTCATTTTAAAAATAATCTTTATTATTTCATTTTAAATCATTTACATTTTTTAATTGTTTTTCCTTTAAGAAGTTATCTTAGGAGCACCGTCAAAAACTTGTACCAATAAATATATAACTATTTTCATTTCAATATTCATGCATGGGTAAAATAGCATCTTCAGTTAGGACACCATGACTCTTGATTGACTCAATCATCTACTTTTCATTTAAAATGAATAATTACTTTCAAACATTGAAAATATTTATTAAACAATTTTATGATACAAAAGGCGAAATAATTTACATCATTAAATGGTCATTTCATTTTTTAATTATTTTCTTACAATCATAGAAATGTTTTAAGCTTTTATGAAACAAATGAAACATTTCTTTTAAAACAGTACATGTCAATTTAAGTTTATTTGTGTTGTCATAAATTTAATCCTTTGAATAAAAGAAAATAAATTTAATGTATATAAAACAATAATTATTCACTTCAATTTTTAGGAGATTTGTGTTATAATTTAATATTTAGGTACCGCATTTCTTAATTTAGCACCTACAAATATAAATCACATCTTTAAAATTTTTCCTAATATATATAAGTATTATTTTTATTTTGTATATTTATGCAAATTAAATACATAAAATTAAAAAGATACCACAAGCATTTTCCTTCTTTCTGACAGAATAATCACTCAGACGCCTTCAAAATCTTTTAATTTATGATATTTTAAATTTGAATTATTGAAATTAATTTGTAAAATAATACTTAATACCTACAACTTCAATTGAAGTTAAGCATTATTTTAGCATACATAGAAAAATTTTAACGTTGTTAATTTGGCCAACTCTCCTCATCATGTAACTCACGCGCGTTTAAATCTAATGACTGAATCTAATTCATAAAATTTTAATGTTAATTTCATAAAATTTTTAATTAGAGAAACATATATAAATAAAAACATAAACACTTTTCTTAATGACTCAGTTTGTTCCTCCCCTACTGCATGCATGCTTACTCAATTCCCTCTCCCCAGTTGTTCGACTCAGATGCATGTGAATTGCCCCTTTCTGGTACACAAACCTCTCCCCTTCTCTCCTTCCTCTTCGCACACGTCAATTTTAGGTGGCCCTCACGACACAATTTCAATGTTGCCTCCTAAGCACATTCTTCCTACACTTGACAATGTTGTCGCTCAATCTACTAAGGTTACACACGTGACACCAAGTGCTACATCATCAACTCGGATCGTCGCCTACAAGCGATTGTGACCTTCGACTCCTTCAACTATATATTATAATATAGTTATTATAATCTCTTCTCCTTATATAAATTTTGCTTTTGAAATATAAAAATTACAATGAAAACAAAAATACATCAATTAAATAGTTGTGGATATTTTCCTTACATATTTGAAACTTTCTCTGAAGTGGCATTTTTTTTCTGATTCATATTTCCATTGAATATTTACTAACTAAACTTCTCTATTACAGAGTTTCTTAATATAATAATCTAGTATCATCGCATGCTCTTCAATATATGTCAAATCAAGTTACATATCAACTAAATCTACAACAAGTCTGCTCGATTCATTAACAACCACCTCCTAAGCGAAGAAATATGAAAATTATTGTGTAATCCTTGCAAGTGTGCAAGTAGAGCCACACTCTAAGGCATACTTCCAATCTTCTCCATAATTTCATATGGACATATATCTTGACTCAATTTTCCTGTTTTTCAAAAGTGTTGCATATTATTCAATAGAATGACTTTGATAAAAACAAACTCCTCTATTTCAAATTTCACTTATATGTGTTCAGCATCATAATATTTTCATTGTCTATTTTGCACATTCTTTAATATATTTTTGATCAAATGAATCTTCTAAATAACATTGTCTACTAAGTTTACACCAATAACTTTCTTTTCAACTGTTTCAACCCAACACAATGATGTCATGCACTTTCTTCTATAAACAGCTTCATATGGAACAATTCCAAATCTTCTCATAATTATTATTATAAGCAAATTCTATTAAAGATAAATGTAACTCCCATCTCCCACCAAAATCAAGAACACATAAACATAGTAGACTTTCCCAATTTTTAATAATAATCTCTGATTGGTCAATTGTTTGTGGGTGGAATGCACTATTAAAAGTCAATCTTATAATAGTAGCCTCCTGAACTTTTCTCTACAATCAGGATATAAACATATCATCTTTAATTGAAACTATGGATATTGGTATCTCATGAAATTGTACAATCTCATTAACATATAATGATGCCAATTTCTCAACATGATCTTTCTGTCTGACTGGAAAGTAATGGACAAACTTAATCAACCAATTTACAATGACCAAAATAGCATCATGCCTTTGTTTGGGCTTAGGAAACCTAACCGTAAAATCTATTGATAGCCTCCCATCTCCATTATGGTATTGGCAATAGTTGGAACTAACTACCTGACCTTAGATGTTTTGCCTACTAACATGTAGGAAACTTGGCCAAAAACTCTATGATGCCTCTTTTCAATCCTAACTACCAAAATATTTTGTTGAGCTCCTATTACATTTTATTACTTCATTAATGTATTGTATAGCCTGACAAATGTGCTCTTGGACAATTTTCTTTCTCAAATTATCAACATCTGAAATGTAGATAATATCTTTGTATATCAAGTATTTCCCTAAACAGTCTGTCTTGGCTTACTCTTAAGATCTTCTAAACAATAACATCTCTAGCTAGTGAATCTTTGGTTCTACTTTTTAAAGTAGACTAAACTATTAGTTGATTTAACTGAACAATAATTTCACCACTACAATCAATCACTGATAGTCAGATTCATTCTATATTATTAATTAATTATTCCTATTGAGTAATCAATCAATTCGAACTACCCAAAACCTTCCTACACAACGCATCTACAACCACATTGTTTTTCTTGGGTGATATTGTATATCCAAACCATAATCTTTAATAAATTTCAATCATCATCTCTATCTCAAATTCAACTCTTTTTGAGTAAATATAAATGTTTTAACTATGATATCATGCAAATAATCACTTTGTTCCGAGTAAGTCAACTACATCCATGATCCAACATTGACAAAAACTTTTTGCAATAAGTTAAAAAAATTCTCTTTTCTATTTTCCTCAAATCCAACTACCAAAGAATTACCACTCATTATGCACCTCAACACACCTTGTCTATTGTCCAACTAAAGAAGTTTCTCAATGAATGTATCATAACTCCACAAAAAATATGTCAATTAAATTGTTCTTCAAGACACTAGCCTAAGATGAAGGGCATTTAAGCAAAGGTAAACTGTACAAAACGTGAAAAAAAAAGACAAGAGGCTATACCCACCTTTTAAAAGCAAAAGGTGAAAAGTTGGACAAACTAAAGTTAAGAATTTAATATAACTATAACATAAGCTAGGATAAAAATTCTTTTTAAATGCATGATGATGACTTGCCTTTAAAGCCATACCAATGACTGCAAGAGGAAACCCATACGTGAGCATTAATGCAGACCACTCTGATCCCGGTAAGATGGTAAAATATGCCCCAAAACCATACCTGGAAAGTGTTAAACACTTAAACAGAAAAATCACTAAATCTTTTCTATAGCCAAAAAAAGAAAATAACAATAACAACAATAATAATAATAATAATAGCAACATTAATAGTAAGACACCTACTTACGAGAGAAGTGAGCCACCAATTGCTAAACCAATGTCCCCAAAGGAGATCTACGAAATAAAAAGAAATTTCAATTCTTAAGAATAGTTGTTCCATATAGATACCCAAGTACAAAATGTTTAGACATGAGATGGAAATGAAAAGGCAGAGACAAAACTTCTAAATCTTTGATACATAGGATCTCCACATAATATCAAATTTAGTAGTATGAAAAAGTATATTGTCATAAATGCTTATAACCTCTGTTGCTCTACCAAAATAGAATAAAAATGTCAACAAAAATTGTAGATTTAAGTTTAAGTAAGAAAAATAAAACTCTCCTTGAAACAAACATCCATATTTTGCATGAATCAATTGATCAAAGCATTGCATAACAATATTAACAGAATGCAGTTCCCAGCAATGCCTTCTCATACATTTCAACCTATTGAGGTGTTGTGAAGGATTCCACTTATACACTCATAAGAGAAGAAGAGGAAAATGATGGCAAACCCAGCCAATGTCATATAGTTCAATAAAAGTGGTGCAACAGCACATTTCAAGCATAAAAATTTAGCATGCAGGGAATTGTCACACCCTTAGCAGTATAGAATTTGAGTGAGATTTTTTGGTTGTACTGCCATGAAAACCTAGCTCAAATGGAATTTTGTAAGCGTTGAAAAAACTTTAAATGTCGTCTTTAGCAAACTTCAGGTGGAGGGCGAAAGGGTGGCTTCTTTGAGCATGGATTGATATTTTTAGGGAGGTTTATTTGATTTTGTAAAAACATATAGTTTCTTATGGGGGATGAGTTTGTGGAGATTCAAAATGTTATATTTAAGGAATACCTCTACTCGAAATTGTCTTCCATTTTGTCCATCATCAATAAACATGTGCTTGACTGATGAAAACCAAAGTATCCAATGCTTGCTATTAGATTTTTACAAAGTGTTGATGATTGTGGTGGACCACCAACTTGACAGGGCATTTTTTTATCTTACTTGAGAATTAGAATTTGTGGTTTGGAAAGTGCTCATAAATATGGGAGTGCTATTTTTTGGGATTTAGGTAGACTGTGAATATGCCCAACATTGGCAAGACAAACCCCTCAAAGTCTTTTATTATTATTATTATTATTAGTATTATTATTATATGTATTTTCATGGGGTTTGTATAAATGATGAATGAAGATTCCTATAGTTATGATAGATCTTAACTTTGCTGAACATCTAGAGGCGAAGCTTTGAGGATTTAACATTAAAATTAACAGCAATTCATTCCTGTTTAATGATGATCCCCACCAGTTATAATTTTCTAAAAACCCTTCCCAATATTAAGGAGATATATCCCGTGGGATTCATTTTGATTTGAGTGGAGGAGAGTGGTAGCTCTTATGACAATGCTGCAGTTCATTAGTCATATCGGTGAGGATCTTGGCATTTTCCACGATAGTGAGGCTTTAAGAACCAAAGCTTGTAGTGTGTGTTTTCGTGTTTTAAGACTTAATTTTCCAAGAAAAAGACTAATGCTAACATTTGTAATTAATCCAAGATCAATAAAAAGGGGCAATACAACCCTTTCTTTTCAATCTTAGATGCAAAAGGTGTAGATGTATGCATGCAGTATAAAGACTAAGAGTGATTTTGATCCATAAAACACCAATAAGTTAATCAACGCTAATAAGGTAGTTGATTGCAAGTGCTCAAAGGAAATATAAGCAGGACGTTGAGGTGTATTGTGTGCATGAATGACTCTTACCAATCTTCACAGACTCCTTAATTTAGAGTTCCTTTGAGCTCTTTACTTTGATCCTTTTCCTTAATATTCCTACTTTTATTGGCTCTATTCCCATCTGGATGGATCCTTGCTACCTTAATCACTCTAAAATCCCATTCTCTGCTTCTAATTCTTGGGTACAATGAGAAAATAAGAGAAATAAAATTCATCAAGAGAAAGACTTTTGGATACAAGATTACATATATTAATTGACTTAAATTTGCACATTTGAATAAAAAAACTTTATATAGTGTTATGTATAGGAAACTTGAATAAATTAAATAACTAGATATTGCTAAGGATAATCTCCTAATCATCCAAGTATAATAGGCCATTAGATAAGAATTGTCCATGCTCGTAATGAAGCAATTTTAAACAAGAAATTATATTTTATCTCTAGATCCATATCATTTGTTAAATATGATCTTTCTTTCAGTGTTTCTGGTAAGACTTAGTGTGACGCTACCCCAAGTCTTATTGATTCCTCAAGTCAATGGGACATAACTTCTTGATATTATACTAAATGTTTTGTTTGCATCCCTCCAACTACAGATTTCTACTAATGCAGCTAAATTATCATATTGTCATTCCCCTTTGTTGCGTTGTTGGAGATTTTCTTCAAGTTTTTTGTAGGTTTTAGTGGAATTGTTTATTACTTTGCCTTGTGTAACTCATGTGAATGTTATTGTGGTCGTGACTAGGTTGCTATGTTTGGAATGGCATGCTTTTTGTGCTGCTCTAAATTATGATAATCAATCATTGGATCCCTTTCTTAATTCCTCTATTCTTTTAAGATCCTTTAGAGTCAAGAATTGTAAATGGCTTAGTGCAGGGGCTTTATCCTCATGTCACCATTCAACATTCCTTACCCTATTATGGTTGATGGTAGCTTGGCTTTCCTGCTTCTCTTATGCCACTAGCTGCACCCTCACTCATTAGTGCACCCTCTTCTAAATCACCAACAAGCAATGGTAGGATGATAAGGCTTCTCGTAAGTATCAGCCACCCGCCCACCTATTCTAACTTTTTGATAGATTGTCTTGATTTTCTTTTGCAAGCCATTGTGGCTTTAGCATATTTGACTGATCAATCTGGATCATGGAACATATGGTGAGACTATGAAGAACATGTTTACGTCCCTTTATGGTTTTATTCTTTTGATTATTTTGGCCAATTGTACTTTGGGCTCTCCTAGGGCAACTACTTGGGTTTCTGTAAATATTTTGAGAAGTGATCATCTATTTTCTTGCTTTAATTTCAGCAAAAAATTCAAAGTGATCTTCTAATTTCTTGCAAAAACTTATCATAGAGCAAGCTATATTTTCCAAGTTCCCATATGCAACTTCTATACGTGTGTATATATATATTATATATATATATATATATATATATATATAGAATTGGGCATGGCCCTAAACTTCTTAAAAGTTACAAAAAAACTAAAATTTTGAGATGGTCTAAACAAAATTCATAAGACATGAATTGAAATCTCTTCCGTCCTCCTTAGAGGTCAACAAAGAGTTGTTAGGTTTGTTAGAAATGATTTTATGAAAAGAAACTATGGCTTTCCATGGTTATGTAAACAATTTTCACTCTCCTTCCATTTGAATGGAGTTACATCAACCAATTCAAACCATCATCCCCTCTTTGCATAAATTAGATTTTTCATTTGAAATAAACTTGCATACGTGGAATTTGTAGCCCACCATGTTGCCTACATATAGCTTATTGTGCTCTATGGGCTCAATTTCTTTTCCCTGTTTAACAAGGGCATGATTGGAGCTTACAAACAAGGCATAAAATTTAATTAGACAACAATGATAATAGAGCTCATGGATTGTGCCTCCCCTCCAGAGCCATTTACATCTGCGGATGGTCAAAGCTTCAATATTAACTAACATAAGATGGTTTGCCCCTCCTAATTGAGCTAACATGAGGTCATCATCATCTGCTTTTTCCAAAGTTAGTTTGAGGGTTTCTTTTTCAGCTTCTATTTTTTATGGCTTTTACTAGGTCTTTTCTTTCTCTTCTACTTTTAATCTAAAGAATATGAAAAGTCAAATGTTGTTTAATACAGATATAGGTCTTGTAAATGGTCATACTGACTTCTAATCCTTCACTTGTAGAATGAACTCACATACCACTTTTACATAATTTTACAAATACCTATTGTGGTTCATTCCTATGATAGACAACAAATATTTCCCATAAATAGGCATTCCTTAGAATTATATGACATGCATACAAGGGAAACATATCACATGCAACTTCATCCATGTATTGCCAAATGACGACATCAACTTTGAATTTAAAATCACTCCTAATCCAGCCCAATGAGTGAGAACTTGAATAGGTTGAAATAACTAATCCAAATTTGTGTACTAGGGAAGCATATACAAATATGAAGTCTAAAATGGCATTTAGAAATACATTTTACCAAAATTTTCATATTAAAAAGCAACTTCCTTGGATCATCTTTGTGTCGTTAAAGCTAATAATTAGCATCTTCCAAGGCTGACAATTAAACCACATCAGCATTGGTGATAGTGAGATTTTTCTTAACTTCCAATGGCTTAGGCCTCTCCTAAGGGTGTCATTTTCATTAATTTTCATCTTAGCGTCCCCTGAGCTTAGCATAGGAGCAATAAGGCACCTTCCTCTACTTCTCCTATATATGCTTCTCTTTCTTGAGTGGAACTATCAGTTTTGACTTTGCAAGTGAGCAAAATGCATAACTCATAATCCAACAACCAACAGTAGCAAGGCATCAATGAGAAAAGATAAGACAATTGCTGGCGATCTCACTTAGAGGCACAAGTCGCATGATTTTGGCAACATTTCGCTATCTCAATAAGATATCCCTCCTAAAACCAAAAGCATTCTCCCCTCTCCCCTTCCCTCCAAGGAGGTGATACATGCATGTTCGACAAATAGATGATGTGGGATTAATGTTTCACTTGAAAAATTCAGCTATTTTTAGCTTCATATTTTCGGGAGCCTCATGCAGTCATTACAAGGAGTACCCATGCGGCCATGTGTATTAACTAGTATGATCATGTAGGTTGTTTTCTGTTGATGCAACTCAGTAAGAAATTGAGTTTTTTGAAAAATTCCATAAAACCATTTTGCAAACTTCTTACGAAATGTGAAGAGTTTTAGCAAATCCAGTGATTTTTTAGGGTATGAAATGAATTGAACATGTTTTATATTCTCAAAAGAAGATTGTATGCAATTAATAACAGGAATAAACATGTAAATATAAATTTTATTTCATAATTCATAGTTCACAAATACA